TTTCTAAGGTACATAAACTTTTGGGATTGACTGTATAGCCAATACATCCTTAAGAGGTTCAAAGAACATACGTAGGATGAACGCAGGCATATTACTCGTCGATTAAACAATACGAGAATCAATGAGCAATTAATTATATCAAATACCAGTCTTTATCAACTCATCCTGTATAGGTTCTAAGGATAAGATTGTTGTTAAGTAGAAATCGAGGGTGAAGAGGATTTAGATTTTAAGTGGTGTGTGTTACCTGCGGCAGCTTTGTTGAAGGAGATAAGACGAAGCCTTCGTCGCCACGATGGCGTCGAGGCTTCTATCGAAAGCATCCTCGGAAGGAGATGAATCAAGGAATTGTTTCTCAGCTGGCGAGTGTGGCTTCAATTCGATGCCAGCGAATGCAAGATTCCTTTCGAGGGTGCTCATATGTTCTATCAATCGCTGCGCGAAAGTGATCGAGTTGTTCAAGACGGCCTCGTCAATATGTGGGTAATGCCGATTGTGGAAATAACCCGTGTCTACGACGCCGCCATCGTAAGAGTAGCTCGATATCGGCAAACCTGAAAGGATACCTTTAAAAACGTCGGTAAACTGAACACACATTGAATTCAACATGGATGCTTTTTTAATTTGCGTGACACAGTTTTACTAGCACTATCTCTTTTAGAGGAACGGGCGATTAGAAATTGGAACATTTATATTTAGTGTTAGTTGTGAAGTTACTAAATCCAGTTCTACTTTTTGAAGGAAACTCATGAATAATCAACGCATCAATTATTCGTTAATCAACTCGAATATTAATATTAATTCAGGATAAAAAAAAAAGTAAAATGCTTTTCGAATTTATGATGGACAGACTTGTTTCAATGAAAGACGAATAGAAGTAAGAAAAATAAGAAAATTACCTGTATAACTAGCCAGGTAGTTCTGCAGAGACATCGGCAACTTGTAGGCGCCAATCGAATGAGAATTCCCGAGGAAACCCATGGCTTGCAGGGAAACCCAAAGAATCGCCAAAGTAGCCACGGAACCCGCCATTAGGCCGCCGGCTGCACAGAACCAAATGATTCTTCGTTAGTTTCAAACTGTAAGCGATGTTTCGGTAACGTGTTTTTAAAAGCGAACGATTTGTTTTTCTCATTCTTTTCTTTATCGCGAGAAATTACGACGCAGTTTGCGTCCCTACACTAATTGTAAAACGGTCATCAATTCGCTCGTTTTGTTCGGTTACGTGTCAACGCGCAAATCGTCCTTCACGTTCTGCAAATCTACGTTCAACTTCTTAAGAGCAATGATATTAAGTACTAAATTTTTCTGATTAAAAGTTTAGTCTAGACAAACTCTAAAAATTTCTTTATTAATAATGACCTAGCTGTTGATGCGACGTTCATTCTTTGAGGGAAAAAAAGAATCGTTATTGAGTTCAAGTGGTCGATTGAACTATAGGCATGGTCAGTTACCATTCTAATGAGTTTATCGTTTTAATTTACTATCAATTGGATTAAAGTAATTCACAGAGCCCGATAGTTGATCAAATCTTTTTATAATCGATAATACTCAATCACGTCCATTTAATTTATCAGGAAAATTCGAAGTACCAGAAATGTTAATTTTTTTTTAATTTCCTTAAACTTAACTTTTAAAATTATATGATGCATCCTTGTGGTTAGCAATGTGAGTTCTTTACGTTAACTACGTATATCGTTATTGTTCTAATCTAATCACTATGTTTCACTCAATGAGACAGATATAAATAACAAACATTTTTGCAAACAAAGTAAAAAATACTAGAAAGCATCGAGTATTTCAAACAGTGCTATCAGTAACGCAATCGTTACATTCAGTGTTATCAGCAAATTGCATTTTTTATTTATGCAACAACAAATGGAAATAAAATAAAACGATCAAAGTCCTCAATTTTTTAATGCTGTTTCTCATTTCTAGAAGCATGAAACTATGTGTATATAAACTTTCATCATAAAATTACATGAAATTGTTTTGGTTTCTTTTAGACTCTTATATTTCATGTGACTTTTAAAAATAGAATTAATTCTACCCATTACTTCCTACGTGGATTTCGATGTATGTATTAGAGTACAATCTTTATTCATGCAAACTTTTTACAATCAGCTTTGTTTACGTTGTTGATCGCATAATAGTCATGTATTCGAAGTCCAGACGTTGTTTTCGCGAAAGGAAAGGAACGCAGTTTTTCTCATCTATTTATAGGCACAATCAGCAAGAATTACGATTCGCCAGTAAAAAAATTACGAAGTTAAACGATTATCAGCTTGTTTTGAGTGCTAGCAACGTGAACGAAGTTTTTCAGATAACTCCGTTTATTTTGCAGATTTTGCGGTGCACATGCCTTCTAAGATTTGCAGACTCGTGTCGTCTAAGCCTTGTTTATAGCTCGTGTTTGCTCTTGACACTTCCTTGACTTCAATTCCGCTTGTTAATCGATTATAAATTTGTTGTGTGGATGCATTTAGATGATATCAAATGATACGGATTAATACGATGTCTCGCAGTATGAAACATATTTTCTTACTTATGTACAGCAAGAATACTGTTGATTCATGGTTTTACTATCAGAGCACTTGTGCCAGAACGGAATTTACCATTACAAAATACCCAGACTAGTGTAAGGTATAGTGGTATTAGATATACGTGTAGTAAATCAATAATCAGTGGTAGACGTTTGCGGAAAGTTTCGTTACTTCAACGTTTCTTTAATAATTCATGAACAAACTAATTGTTATTTGATTAAAAAAATACAGACGATCATTTATTTCTTAACACAGATATTAAATTAATGAGCTTAAAACAGAGAAAGATTTTATGTTGATAATGATCTCCGAATAAAAATAGCTGTGGACTTTGCAAAATGAAATGGCAATATTATATTTTTATAAAACTTTTATATCTGAAAATTGGCAATGATTCAATACGAATATTTCAGATACTCTTTTAAAAAGTCTATTTTGTCTCCGTATAAATTCTTCAGTTTTATACTTGCCGAGATGCAGTCTTCGATCAAAACAACATCTTGAAGCCCAAGTCTCGTAAAGATAGCCACGTCACGTTTAAATTGAAATCTTTTAAACAAAATGCAAGGCACGAACTGAGATCACTTATAAAGAGATGTCTATTTGATTTAGAATTTCGAAGGAAATCGTACGTAGAAGTTAGATCGCTTTTACTGAGGATGATTCATTCCTTGTTTCACGCCCTAAGACGCCTTCTTGGGACAAAAATAGATTCGAAGCGTGTCTTTTGGTGTTATACCGCGTTTTGATCTACAGAACTAAATACGATCATGTTAGTTCCGACCTTCTCCAACGTACACAGTTGTTAACAACGTAGACTCCCACGTAGTCCAGAAACATAAAACGCAATTTCCACGTTCCATTTTCAGCCTTTATGTACATCTCGAGTTACCATCGTGCAGTGAAAATTTTTGCCATTTTTATAAGTTCTATCACTAATTCGACATTACTGCGTATTAAAATACTAAATAGTTTAAATTCATTCCTGAACCACGAATTCTACGTGCTGGTATTAATACACGATCTAATTTTAATATTAATATTAATTTATTAATAATTTTAACAGATTAAGTTGATCTCAAATTAATATTAATTCTGCAAGTGTTTTTTTTCTATGCAAATTATACGTTCTTCTTTACATTGCTCATCAAATAAGCTGTATTTACCTAATGCTAATGCCAGACGGTGTTTTCGTCCCATGGAAATCAAGTTTATCATACTTCCTGTTACGCAAACGAAAATAACGCGGCCACTCATATTTTCAAAGTTAATAATTTATCAGTGCCAGACAAATACTCTCTGCAATTTTTTACGTAATTTTTAATTTCAATAAAGAATGTCGAAATTTTTTTGCTATCCAATTTGTTTTCGTCTTTGAAAATAATTTATGTCTGAAGTCACAAAGATTGATTAAGCATTTTTATGAGACGCCACAGTATTGTAATGCTGTAATATAATGCAAATATTCATACCGGCGCCGCATGAAGTCATGTAATAGTCTCGTAAAGATAGCCACGTCACGTTTAAATTGAAATCTTTTAAACAAAATGCAAGGCACGAACTGAGATCACTTATAAAGAGATGTCTATTTGATTTAGAATTTCGAAGGAAATCGTACGTAGAAGTTAGATCGCTTTTACTGAGGATGATTCATTCCTTGTTTCACGCCCTAAGACGCCTTCTTGGGACAAAAATAGATTCGAAGCGTGTCTTTTGGTGTTATACCGCGTTTTGATCTACAGAACTAAATACGATCATGTTAGTTCCGACCTTCTCCAACGTACACAGTTGTTAACAACGTAGACTCCCACGTAGTCCAGAAACATAAAACGCAATTTCCACGTTCCATTTTCAGCCTTTATGTACATCTCGAGTTACCATCGTGCAGTGAAAATTTTTGCCATTTTTATAAGTTCTATCACTAATTCGACATTACTGCGTATTAAAATACTAAATAGTTTAAATTCATTCCTGAGCCACGAATTCTACGTGCTGGTATTAATACACGATCTAATTTTAATATTAATATTAATTTATTAATAATTTTAACAGATTAAGTTGATCTCAAATTAATATTAATTCTGCAAGTGTTTTTTTTCTATGCAAATTATACGTTCTTCTTTACATTGCTCATCAAATAAGCTGTATTTACCTAATGCTAATGCCAGACGGTGTTTTCGTCCCATGGAAATCAAGTTTATCATACTTCCTGTTACGCAAACGAAAATAACGCGGCCACTCATATTTTCAAAGTTAATAATTTATCAGTGCCAGACAAATACTCTCTGCAATTTTTTACGTAATTTTTAATTTCAATAAAGAATGTCGAAATTTTTTTGCTATCCAATTTGTTTTCGTCTTTGAAAATAATTTATGTCTGAAGTCACAAAGATTGATTAAGCATTTTTATGAGACGCCACAGTATTGTAATGCTGTAATATAATGCAAATATTCATACCGGCGCCGCATGAAGTCATGTAATTACCCGCAGGAAGACTTATGTGACATTTGACCATTTTCTCATTGAAAGTATTTGAAAACGTTTTTAAACGCTCGTAATTACTGTCATTATCAATATAAAAAGTAATTCCAATCTAAATTACTTCGCGCACGTAACATATGCTGTACAAGGTTTCCTCTATTTTAAGATCATAAAGAATGTTAGTCATTGTTGTAATGTTTTCCTACGGATATCTGCCGGTGTAACGATCAGGCAGACGCGTGTACTCGAAGTAGACAAAATATACGATTTATTTTCAAACGATGAAATAGGTTCATGAATTATTTATTGTGCACGGTACATACATATTACGTAACAACGATTCATTCACTCACGCGCATCTACGTACTCTAGACGGGTTGATCATCATTGGCCTTCTCTGAGAATATCGATTTCCACGAACGAAGCCTGATTTTTCCATTATAAGGAGAATGCGTCATGTAAACAATTCCTCCGGCACTTGAACAGTTGCTCACACGAGGATACAATTAACTGGTAAAATTCCACGATCACTTTCTACGTGCGCTATTATCATTCCACGTATTTTCCGCGATAGACGATTGACTGGTCTGCAAACTTTTTCCTTGATCTAGACGGCATTCTACTGATATGGGCAATCGACAATACTATTTATACTCGTGCTATTTATATTTTTATTTAGATCAAAATTATACAAGTGGTATGTTTTTCGTTTTAAGTAGGATTCTGCTAATTGAATATTAGTCACAGCTACGGAATTACAGGCATTGTTCGAGTTCAATGACACAGTAGCAGTGACTGCTAAATTTAGATTAACATATTCGTATGATTAATGATCACTTTGCACACCGGTGCAACGAATTTAAACGATTTTATTCTATACAACGAAGTAAACAAAAATGTTATAAAGAATAATTAAGAAAGTTACAAGGCTTTTCGAAACGAAAAATAATATAACAAGAAATTTCCATTCCAACTTTCACAACGTATACCAAACGTATCGTCGTAATAGTTATATTCGTTAGTATAAACAAATAATAATTAAATCTTAATCAATGGAAGTTCGAATTCGTGAAGAAATTCAAATTTAAATTTGTTGGTTTATTAAAATTCAGTTAATTAATTGCTCTTTTCGTTCATGTCACGCATCTGGTACTTATCTACGCGTGATATCTGGCCATCTACGCGTTTACAGAATTAGCTTCAATGTAAAGTACATCATGTTTAAGAGTTTTAGAGATCAATCTTATACGATAGATTGTCTCGCGTTTGCATTTCAAAGATTTTCTATTTACTTTCGATGTATGGGATTAAAGGGAATCTATAAATCGTATTGAATGGATTCAAGCTGCGAGATGAAAACCGTGGCAAACATTACCGGACACGTGATCCATAGGCTTCTCCAATCCATGCATCGTGTAGGCCCAGCGATTGTTGTCGACCGGAGCAACTAGAAACATTCTCACCACGCGAAAGCCGAAAGAGCCAGTTTTGTTCACCACGGCAGGAACTGTCTTCCCGAATACATATAACGCGAATCCTCGCGGATTACCAACTCGAACGCGAATCCCGTTAGTCCTAGCGAACCGGCGAATAAAGTATTTCTCCTTAGAACCGGAGTAAGAATTTCAATCGATAAAAATTGCTTGAAATCGTCAGCTAGGAATGGGACTTAATGAGTCGCGTGGGAAGAGAAAAGTTATTCGGAGCGTCGGAAAACCGAAGAGGAACCTTCTACTTCGGAGCAAGTTAGCGGAGAACTGAACGTGAACGCCACTGTAGAAACACTAGAAACTACTGAACTCTCTCTACCGTCTCTCTCTTTCCTACACAACTCCCTCTCTTTAGTTCATACGCTCGGTCGAGTTACTAATACACTGTTACGATCTATCTGTCTCCTTCCCTCGCATTCAACGACGACTTTCCTGCTTATACAAGGGTTCTGTACTCTCCCTCCAGCTGGTTCCCTCCCTCGACATTTGTTCGCATCTCTTTATCCTCTTCCAACGTTCTGTATTCTGTCGTAACCTTCTGGAAGGGTCTTATTCCTTTTTTTTTTTTACACTCTCACCCCTCTGTCGAGCTCGTACTATTTTTGCGTTGCTCCAACACGCCTTTAGCTCATTCGTTCAATACGTTGACCAGTGCAGAAACGAAAGATCGAATTCGTTGAAACTTATATTTCTGATAAATATAAAAATGATGTTGCACTTTGCACCCTATCGAGATCAATATTTTTGCAACGCCCACCTTTTATTCATTTTTTCTCGCGCTATCTTCTTCGTACCATTCGACTTTTCCTTGTGCTCGATTCGTAACACGTTCCATGCACTCAGCCTGTCTCATTTTTGCCTTCTTCAGCATCTCGCATGTATTAAATCTTCTTTCATACTGTCACTCATGCGTTTATTTTTCCTACATAATTCCGTCTTTCCTCATCTTACAAAACCGATATTGGAGTATGTATTAGTGTGCAGATGCTCGACATTTCTCTCTCTCCCAAACATATTATCTTTAATTCCCTCTCTTTCTCGCTTGCGTACCCAACGATCCATACTTCCCCCGTTTATGTACGTGCACACACACACACACAGTGACCCTCGCACTTGTGCGCTTCTATCCTCTTCCAGAATACTACATAGATAGCTACAAGGCGAACTCCCACCACCCTCGTACCTGCGCTCTCTGCCTATCAAATGTACGTATTTCCATCTTTTTCTGACCATAGCTGCCAGACAAGAGCTTCCACGTATCGCGACGGAATTCTCTGTCCTCGTCCAACGTCAGTTATTCCCTGGATTTGCGCGTACACACTCGCTCGCGACCCCCACTGTCAAAGAGTAGGGTCGCTTTCAGTCGAGAAAAAAAAGTTCTATCACTCGGTGAGCACGTGCTCGCACCTTCCCCACCACGCCAACACGTCGTTGCACGCTCGTTTCTCGCTGAGCTTGTTTTCCAGGTTATCGTAAGTCGATTACCGATTCCCAGTCGCATGATTCCACGTTTAATCAATGTAATGACATTTTGTGAGGACGCGTGCTCCGAAACGTTGAATTCATGAATCGAGAACATTCATATTCTCTCAAATCTTATTGATACAATTGAAGCACCTGATATGCACGTGTTTTTGTTTTGATGAATTTACAAAGACAATAAAAATAGATAGCGAATTTAATCGTCTGTCATAATAAAGAATTTATGATAAAGATAAATGTTAATAGATATTTTGGATTAATGATACTTCGCATCATTCTTTCAATTTATGACGTACTTTTCTTACAGAGAAGATAATGTTTCAAGTGCGTAAATATAAAATCAAAATCTAGTTCATCATGGTCTACTTACAATATTTAAAGAACTAAGCTGATAATGCAGAAGTGATGCAGACTTAATAGAACGTAGCAATATTGGAAGTAAGGAAGTCCTTACACGTTGTTCTGGCAGTTTTTCTACCTGCGTAAAAGGGACTTTAAAGCGTTCCCTTCAGAGCCTTAACTGTGTACAAGTTTGGCACCCTCCCAACTATCCCAGTACTTTTCCATAGCTTTCACCCAGGTATTTCTGTCCTGCGCAGTCTTCGAGAATATCGACACCGAAGGAAAGAAATAAACGACCTGGTCATTAAGCCGACCTAGGAATAATGGGAAGATTACGTGCGATAAATAATTTTGCTTGGTTGTATCGATTCGTGGAAAATTCCTTTTTTCAGAATACAATGGCCTGCCTTGTAATTCCAAGGATGCCAGTTACAAATCTATTTTCAAAATTTTTCATAAAAGTTTAAGTCGATCTTAATAGATTTTAAGTTCGTTGTATAAAGGTCAGTCAAGAGGAAACTGTAGTAGCCTAAGCTATTTTCAGTTTCTGTACTTTGTGGAATGTTTAATAAAAATTAGCAGTAAGGATATTATCTAACGAAAAATCGAATAATTTTCGTACTCCTCCTTGTAAGACCAAATTAAAGACGAAGATCGTGTCACGGTTTAATCCGTCTATCGAATGGGCACAGTTATAAATAAAGGAATACCGTTGAGCTGATTGAAGCCGGAGTAAAAACGTGGTGCGAGTAAGTCGATCAATTAAACCCTTTTATTTCCTGACACCGAAGACTTCGAAGTACGATTTCTAAGCAGTAACAACAATTATAGTAAGAATTGTTTTATAAACTGAACGAAAATGATTATACATGCCCATTGAGAACTAATATTGTATAACTTAAGCGAATTCACTCGAAGATGTTCTAGAAATTGTTATGCCGTTTCCGAGGAGGCCAAACAGATGAATTTTTGTTGACATGAAAAATATGATAGATTAAGAAGAGATCATACTAAATTAAGTAGATCCAAAAAATTGCGGAAATGTTTCACTGCCTTCATAATATATTAGCATATTGGTTTGGGCACTTGAATAATGCAATTTAATTCAGTCTCCTTGGTAACGTCTATATGCACTCCTTGGGCCAGTTTGGCGGTACTGCGATAAAACGAGTAGTGAATCCGTGAATAAACTGTATCTGCACTATCGCATACAAAATCAAGCTTACACAGAAGCTGATGGCGTTTATTTAAAACTGATATTTTTGGAACAATTTCGTATTCCTTGAACGAAATCCTTTTCTCGGTATATTCTTTAAGAACTGCCTTCATCTGACTAAAACCTGATAGAAATTTATATTCGTTAAACAGGAATAAATACAAGTAGCAAGAAATTTTACCTCAACCATTGAATTTGCGGATTGCAAACTAAATAAATAAAACATGTTTCTCTTTTCTGCCAGTTACTGCATCAAATCTTATCGCGATTATATTCGACGCAAACATGTGAAAGTTTGTTGCCGGTTACTCGACACGGTTTCGATTACAAAAGTAGAATGTGTTTGTGATTTGATAAAAAAATATTTTTAGATGACACTGGGTTTAACTTGCATTGAACTAAGTTTACCCAATGCACGACAGGAATTAAAAATCGTGTGTTCGAAACGTGGAAAAGAATCATTCTGTTTATAAACACACTTTGTGCAGGAAAAATATTTTGCGACCGTCAGATATAAATTAACACGTACCACGTAAATTATTTAAAGCACGTGATAGCAAGCGTTAACGATCTCTGGTAAAAAGGATTCAAAATATTGCATAATAGAAACGAATGGAAACTAATAGCAATGTATATATGATTTCTTCATGCTTCAATTAACGCTTGCTATATAAATATATGTGAGTAACGTGACTGACGTGGCTCTGGATACATAAGCATTTATGACAATGATGTTAATTCTATTTTTAATCATAAGCACTTCTAGCTCGACGGTAT